AGAACGAACATTAGAAATGACATTTTAAACTCGTGACAATGATATTTGATATTCAATTTTGGTTTATAAAACTTAAGTAATAAACATGATGTTAACTTAAACAGTTAATGTTGCATCTATAAGGAAACTGTCGGGTTTGATAGAAACAATTATCTGTGTCACTAAAACAAATGTGCATATTTTATTAAACATGCATTTCAGAAAAAAATAAATTGTCTTGGAACATAATTGTTTTGCACCATATCATCTCTTGGTACCATAAATGTCTGTGCAATATAATCAATAGGACCATGATTTTAAATCGCCAGGACGTTTCGAAAACAAAATTATCAATCTATTTTGTTATACGTAATAATCTCAAAATGTGTCTTGTATGATACATGAAAGAGAAACATTTTGCAAATTATCAATTTTAAGCCTCTAAACATACATGAAAAAGCTTTTAAACTTTATTTTACAAATCAAAAATATTAAAAAAAAAATTCAAAAACCACTTAAATATCTGTATATTTGTATTACTTATATTAACGTTTAAATATAATGCAGTTTCATTTACACTATTTCTGTATTAGACTTATGCAAAAAGGATGGAAAGGAAATAGTTTACAAAACAAAGTGCTGTTTAACGTAGCTGATCTAATGTTATGTAGGGGAAACAGTGATACAAAGCTGAAAAACAGGTATTAAAATACAAAATAAAATGAACTGATATTGTTATATACAACAAAAGTATGCAATAAAGCATACAATAAATCGCCTTCAACAAAAATGCATTATGATGAACATATACATGTACAGTTTTATATTAGATAATTTTGTCAACTACATCATGTACATAACAACATTGCAACTAGATAACGATATTTACTGAAATTTTATAGCTTGCTATGCGGTATGGGTTTTGCTCAATGCTGAAGGTCTTACGGTGACCTATAGTTGCTTATTCTCTACGTCATTTGGTCTCCGATGGAGGGATGTTCCTTTAGCAATAAAACCACATATGTATGTAGGGGACTGTTACATGTGAAACAAAGTGGAAGCATTTATATGTTTACTTGAAATTCTCGCTGATAATGCTACTCAATGGAACTTTATTAATTTTACACAGGCACTGTGGGTTATACTAGGTGTAATATTAAAGTTACAATACAAATGTAAATTTAACAAGTTACCGAGTGGGTGTCTTGCAAAATCTGAATCACTCCAGTCATTTTAAAATTCAATTGGAAAAGTTTTTCAGTTTGTCTTGTTTGGTCGAAACGAATGTCTGCCGTACAAAATATAAATCAGGTATGTATGATTACCTCTTGTTTTATATTTCTACACTTCTTGTATCGATACCTTCGATACCAGGTTGTAAAAGCTTTTCAACGTTACCACTGTGACAAATATATTTAATCGATTCTCTGATTATTTCATTAACAAAATCCTACAGCGTTATGTAAGTAGACATATTCTCGAGGTACAGCCAATAGTTGTTACTAATAATTTCATGCTACCAAATTACAGATCAAATAGCGGAAAATAATTCTTCAATATATGGCAAGTAAAACAGTTGAAAGATTTTACTACATATATGTTTAAACTGGAACATAGTATGGCAATTTTATGAAACAGCGATAAGTGGTTTTACTGGGACAGATAGTTTATCTTACCTAACGTATCCTTTTGCAGCTGTCATTAAAATAAATGCAATAAAATTCTAAAAGTAGCTTAAAACCAACATCTAAATTGCATAAAAAATGCTATTCCAACCCCAACAAATGTCCAAATAGAGCATACAACGCGAGATGCTTGGCTGGGACACAAATAAACAAATGTTATTAAGAGACTCATCTATTGTTATTATATTAAACAAGTTAAATACTGTTAACTATTTTTTATTTGATATTCAATTTATGTAGTATTACATTGTGACTTTTACACTATTTTTTTTGAAGATTTGATATTATATACATGATATGATTACGAGTAATTTGAATCATTTTTAATTGTTCTACCAAAGTTATGACAAAGGAGCTTACCAAAGGGTTGACTGGGGTAATTAAATACGACCAGAGTTGAATCCAGAGGTGAGTGTATGCTTTACAACAGACGTAAAATATTGTATTTATGAAATTGCTACTTGTAAACAATTCGTATCATTTTACTATCTCATAACATTAAAAATTATATTTTACAGTACAATGGATCGTTCTCCTGCTGTCTCAGTTCTCATTATGTTAACTGCAATTACTAGTTCACGTGGTATAGTATTGTTATTGGAATTTTAATTCTCTTCTTACTTTCTCAATATTTGATTCATTGGTATTTTATTTCAGCATTATATACCGTATATCGGGGTTTTTTTTTCGCTTCGGCTGTATATTTGTATTACTTATATTAACGTTTAAATATAATGCAGTTTCATTTACACTATTTCTGTATTAGACTTATGCAAAAAGGATGGAAAGGAAATAATTTACAAAACAAAGTGCTGTTTTACGTAGCTGATCTAATGTTATGTAGGGGAAACAGTGATACAAAGCTGAAAAACAGGTATTAAAATACAAAATAAAATGAACTGATATTGTTATATACAACAAAAGTATGCAATAAAGCATACAATAAATCGCCTTCAACAAAAATGCATTATGATGAACATATACATGTACAGTTTTATATTAGATAATTTTGTCAACTACATCATGTACATAACAACATTGCAACTAGATAACGATATTTACTGAAATTTTATAGCTTGCTATGCGGTATGGGTTTTGCTCAATGCTGAAGGTCTTACGGTGACCTATAGTTGCTTATTCTCTACGTCATTTGGTCTCCGATGGAGGGATGTTCCTTTAGCAATAAAACCACATATGTATGTAGGGGACTGTTACATGTGAAACAAAGCGGAAGCATTCATATGTTTACTTGAAATTCTCGCTGATAATGCTACTCAATGGAACTTTATTAATTTTACACAGGCACTGTGGGTTATACTAGGTGTAATATTAAAGTTACAATACAAATGTAAATTTAACAAGTTACCGAGTGGGTGTCTTGCAAAATCTGAATCACTCCAGTCATTTTAAAATTCAATTGGAAAAGTTTTTCAGTTTGTCTTGTTTGGTCGAAACGAATGTCTGCCGTACAAAATATAAATCAGGTATGTATGATTACCTCTTGTTTTATATTTCTACACTTCTTGTATCGATACCTTCGATACCAGGTTGTAAAAGCTTTTCAACGTTACCACTGTGACAAATATATTTAATCGATTCTCTGATTATTTCATTAACAAAATCCTACAGCGTTATGTAAGTAGACATATTCTCGAGGTACAGCCAATAGTTGTTACTAATAATTTCATGCTACCAAATTACAGATCAAATAGCGGAAAATAATTCTTCAATATTTGGCAAGTAAAACAGTTGAAAGATTTTACTACATATATGTTTAAACTGGAACATAGTATGGCAATTTTATGAAACAGCGATAAGTGGTTTTACTGGGACAGATAGTTTATCTTACCTAACGTATCCTTTTGCAGCTGTCATTAAAATAAATGCAATAAAATTCTAAAAGTAGCTTAAAACCAAAATCTAAATTGCATAAAAAATGCTATTCCAACCCCAACAAATGTCCAAATAGAGCATACAACGCGAGATGCTTGGCTGGGACACAAATAAACAAATGTTATTAAGAGACTCATCTATTGTTATTATATTAAACATGTTAAATACTGTTAACTATTTTTTATTTGATATTCAATTTATGTAGTATTACATTGTGACTTTTACACTATTTTTTTTGAAGATTTGATATTATATACATGATATGATTACGAGTAATTTGAATCATTTTTAAATGTTCTACCAAAGTTATGACAAAGGAGCTTACCAAAGGGTTGACTGGGGTAATTATATATTGCCAGAGTTGAATATCCCATCCGTCGGTAAGTGTATGCCTTAAACCAAAGGGTTGACTGTGGTAATTAAATACGACCAGAGTTGAATCCGGCGGTGAGTATATGCTTTACAACAGACGTAAAAAATTGTATTTATGAAATTGTTACTTGTGAACAATTCGTATCATTTTACTATCTCATAACATTAAAAATTATATTTTACAGTACAATGGATCGTTCTCCTGCTGTCTCAGTTCTCATTATGTTAACTGCAATTACTAGTTCACGTGGTATAGTATTGTTATTGGAATTTTAATTCTCTTCTTACTTTCTCAATATTTGATTCATTGGTATTTCATTTCAGCATTATATACCGTATATCGGGGTTTTTTTTCGCTTCGGCTTTTTTTTTACGATTTGTTGAAATAATGGGCAGGTTAAATTTTTACTGTGTATAATTTTCGCTAAATGGAAAAATACACGCAAAACAACCCCACCCCAGTCAACAGACTAACAGTGGGCCAACGTTTGCAAATTGTCGGATCGTTGGTCGACCGTTGGTGTTGGCTGCACAACATTGGCCCAACGTTGGCAAATTGTCGGTCCGTTGGTCGCACGTTGGTGTTGGCTGCACAACATTGGCCCAACGTTGGCCTGCTGTTGTAAATCATATTATTATCTAATGTTGGTTATAAATAATCGGGCCAACGTTGGCATTACGTTAGTAGCAACATAGGGCCGATATGAAATTTTGTTAATGAAAATTGATTATGAAATATTTTACGCTTTGTTTCTCTTGGGAAGGCGGATGATTTCGATTGCTGCATGCTTTATGAAAAGTAAATGTTATACCGAAAGGGTTCATCAACTGAAATTACATTTACAACTCTATGTTGGGCCAATGCTGTCCAACGTTGATCCTATATTATATATAAGTCAGGTAAAATTTATACTGGAATATCATTACTGTAATAAAAAAAAATATATCGTTAACATAGATTGCCTGGTTAAAAGTTTAAATTTATTGCAATCATTATTTATTATAACTTTATTTATTAAACTTTGTGAAACATAATAATTTAGCAATTATATACAGAGTGATATTTGATACAGCCATTCTCTTAATCAAGGACATTCTGATAAGGTTGACCATATGTTAGACAAATTCAAAAGATAGTTGCTATGGTAATTAAGTTTATAGGAAATCTGAATGTAATGGGATGGTCACTCTTGTGGTTATTTCCTGTTGTGTATTTGTAAGAAAGCAGTGAAACGAAGAAAACAAAAAGAGAAAATCATATTATCTGAGGTTCAAAGAAAAAGAAAGTGACATGTAAGTTATAACTTTAAAAATTCTGTTATATATATACAATTGTGAATGACAAACATATATGTTTTTTTTTTAATCTGAGGGATGTTGTTCAAAATTAAAACATATAATTTCTATCATTTTATAATGTTGATCTTGAAGTTTATACGTTTCTGGCGAAATATTTTCTAGATTTTGTTTAAAACATTTCAATCCTAAATAATCATGAAATAGTTGCCACTGAACATTAGTATCATCAAACAAATTGTAAATTGCTAATATTTTAATGTTTTATTTGTGAAATCTATAACGATTGCATTTATCACCATTAATGAAGTTAGTGGAAAAAGTCTGTCTTAAGATGTACCTTGTTCCGTAATGTTTCAGAAATGTGGTATAATGATTTCTACTTCATAGAAATATAAATGAATTTGTTAGTTTTATTATTTCTAAATCGCATGCAAACATATACGATATATTTGTGAAACCTCATCATATACACACTTGCATGTGTAACAGTGTTTTAGATATCAAATAAAGTATTTATTTATTAAATTCATTGCAAGAATGTTGTAATTTATATATAATTATACGGACTCGACTGAATTTAGTTTTTTGTCCTCGGCAAAACTTTTGCAGAAGAAAACCGATATTTGAATAGTTTGTAGGTGTAAATATCAGTCACAAAAAGCTATCGCTTGAAATATAAAAAAAAAGGGGGGAATGTAAAAAAAGACTATACCACACATAAGGATATTTATAAAAGAAAAAGACTACAAAGATTATTGTCTGAATTACTTGAAGTAGCTTTTCTTTTTAATATACAATTTTACATTTAAATATAAATTTATAGGTTAGGTATTTGAGTACTACAGAAGACAAAATAATTCAGAGGGCAAAATGAATAATACAGAGCTAGGAATAATAGCAATTATTGACAACATCCTGGCTAGAAAATGCATGGGAATGGAGATGGGAAAAAATGCATTTTATCCATTTGATAGCCCAGAATGAATAAGTTTAAGAAAGTAAGTTAACATAATAGCCATCATTTGTGCTACATCGGATTCGAATTTCACAGATATATATGCATAAAATGTTTAATACTACCGTTAATGCTAGTGTATTTAGATTTGACTTTGTGTTTTTTTTTTCAACTAGTTTTATTTATTTACTTAGAACGTTTTTTGACAAAGTTTCCTGTATCGATTTCTACACTCAATTGTCCTGCTTAACCTAGCTAGTGAGGTTAAGTCTAGCCATTATGGTAAAGCATGCAATATGCCTTTTGCCTTGGATTGTAAAGGCTAGGGAAAATATAAAAAAAGAGTATTTTTTCTAACTATTGTAATGTGCCAGGACACCGGAAACAATGCATTTTTTGTCTCTTTGTTTATTTTTTAGGAGGATTTAATATATTCTAAATATACATACATTGAGTACTCATTTATTCATTACTTTATTACAGAGGTACATGTAGTGAAATAACTTTTATGAAGATATGCTAAACTGGATATTAAAAGGATGTAACATTAGACGGATCCAGAAATAGTGACAAAACAAAGTGTATCAGAAAACAAAAGGAACACTCTTGTGAATAAAAACCATGTTGGAATGCAGAACTAGAAAAATAGCTGTATAAAATGAATTATCAAGGCCGTCATACAGAGCTTGGATATTGCAACATAAACTGTAATGATATTATACAAATGGGATAAATGAATTATCATCAATAGACTTTAACATTTTCATTCTATAGATCTGATTTAGCAACGTATAGATACAAAAAAGACCTTTTAAAATTTGCTGGTTGTCTAGGTAATAATAAATTATATTTAATCATACCTTTGTATTCATATTATTTAAGAAAAAAAGGTAACATGGATACGTTGATTGAGTTCATACAAATATGGGTATAAAAATCAGAAGTACAATTCCTGGAGAGAGATTGATTGGTTGTTGGTTACTGAAACGTCCATTCACAAATATTTCATGCATTTTCAGGAAGATTTGAGAGAAAGTTGCAAAATACAAAATTTTCGGGTAGTATGTAAGACACAACATGGTATAGTGGAGCTGTAAAACGCAATAATTGCAACATTTAAAAAAAGTATTACTTTCGCCATTTTGAACTGATGAAAGAACCAGGATTTATTGCAGTTGTTGTCTGGAAGGGATTTTAGTATCCTTCTGAAGTTCATATGGATAGAAAAGTTTACAGATTGAACCAACAGAGTGCCAACGTTTGTTAACAGTTTGTTTTACTACGTTGGCCCAACGTTTGTTCAACATCGGCAAGTACTATTCCATCATTGGACCAACGTTAGGCCAATGTATTGTATAAAACCTTACAACGTTGTGCCAACGTTTAACCATCACGTTGGGCCAACATAGGGCCACTTTGCACTTATACATTGGGCCAACGTTTAAAAACAACGTCAGGCCAATGCATGTAGATACGTTGGGCCAATGTTGTGCCAATGTACCAATGTTGTCTGGGACTGTATTGTATTATAACAAGATGTAAACAACATAAACTTGATTGACTGACAAATAATCGATAACAAATAAACGATCTTTTAATAACTGTTTAGATAAGGTTCATTGCTGCATGATAAAAAATGAAGATTTTGGTCGTTTTTATGCTTGTGTAACAGATACTTTTGAAAGCGTATTTGTGCAAATATCCGTTTAAATGTGATTTATTTTGATTTTATTTTTGATCATTTTTACATTGTATGCAAAATGTTTGGGTTATGATAACAATCAATAGACGTCGCTAATTAACATTGTTGAACAGTTCACTGAGTGCCGTGGTGTCGAACGGTATGACATGTTTGATAGTACAGTTATTTATTATGAAAACAGAGATCTTAATTAATTATGCACAATCTTGTGATCTACCGATCAACACTAAAGACTGATTTTATATATGATGTAATGTCGCCTTCAGGGGAAAAGAGTTTACATATCAAGTTGTGATAACTCGATTTTTAACAGTTTAATGTCAGAAATAAATCTAGGAAAAGGCAGGGAAATTTAAGCGGGGTTATATGTTCACGTTTCTGTGGGTGCCGCGAACAAAGCAAAAATTAAACACACGCGAAAAAAATAACCCAAACGATAAACGGTATCTTTATTCCTTATGCTATCCTCTTGACATGTTTCTTGCAATATGCCAAGCTCTAAATCGTTGACGTGCATGTACATTTATTCTTAATTGATGTATTAACAAAAAGTTATTTAGACAAAACATTCAAGTAGGCTTATCACATAATACTGAAACAGTTACCTGATTAAAACAACATGTAAAGTGTAATCAAAACCATGGTTACTACAATGTGAATTGTTTCAAACAATGTTCGTTGACGTCTGGTATATACTTGCTCATAAGAAATCATAACGGCGTTTGCTCTTTTATGTATATCTGTGGCCGAACTTCTTATATAAATCCATACAGCAATTAAAGAAACATCCCTTGTAAAGGAATCGTAGTCTTAAACGGTCGTTTTGGTCTTGATATCATCTGAAGAGTCTAAACAATAAATTATTAAGTCATGTTCAGTCGTTCAGCCAATTTCCTGACGTATGTAATACGGTATATTCAGTATTGCTCAGAAAATTAGCTTGAAGTCAATTCAGTATTGTTCAATACTTTTTCAGACCAGTCAGTATGATGGTGATGTGTACAGATAATTTAAAAGTACTGAACAGTCTGAATATAAACTGAACGACTGTAAGCGAATATTTCGTCTTAATAAGAATATGACGCAAAGTGGTGTATAGGGTATAAAAATCAAAAATTTGAACAGATTCGAAATCACCAATATAAGCATGCAATTTGTCAAGTACTTCAAACGAATTTTTGACACTCCAAAAATAATTGATTCCACTATTTTCAAAGGCATTATTTGAACAATTTATTACCAGGTTTTTGATTGTACCAAGTGTACTAGTAAGTAGAAGACAGTTTAGTAGTAGAACAATGGCTGGAAGACGAAATAAATCCATACTTGTAAGGTGTTTTGTACAGCTTCGGAAACCAGTACAAAGTTGGAACTTCCATTGTATTTGGTTCTGCTTGTAAAGTGGTAAAGTTTTAAAGTTTATGTTTGTTACAGATGTCATTTTCCGAAAAGAGAGCCAGTTTGAATGCATGCTTTATCAACGTAATCTGAAATCTCGGGTTGGCGGAGAAGAGTGGATTTGTGGCAGATTTGTTTTCACACTTTTGCTTTTGTTAATTCAATTGATATGATTGCAGTCGATGTAATATTGTAATAATCCTGAATTATAACTTCATATTAGTAAAGACGTCAAATGTTTTAATTGCAAACTGCATTAATTTCGAATAAATGCCCCTTTTCTAAAGACATAAGCGTGTTTATTCAAGATGGTCGAAGGAAACGATGGCATAGTGCAAGGAATTAAACAATTTTAAGTACCCTGAATATCATAAGAAATGTTCCGGATATTGCTGTACCTCGTACCTAATGCCCCCTTTTCATAGGTTCCTAAGATTTGATAGAATTATTGACGTACACTTTGAATTTCATGTAAAACGATATCGCAGAACTGAAATTATAGCCAGGTTGTAAAAAGGCGAAGTTACCAAAGGGGCAATAAAACCATGAATTCGAGGAAAGATAATGAAACCCTTTTCTAAAGCTGTGCATTACTAAATTTCAAATGCAATAATATCAAAAAACATAACTTTTCGTACATATACTATGAAGAGACTTCATTACTAATTTTGTTAGTTTATTGTTTTATTTCATTTATTGGGAATGAAATGGGTGTTTTGTGATAGCTCCAGACCATTACAGAAAACCAACAGACATTCATGACCTTCTTATACGGATTTTTCTTCATAACATTTTAAACATATATTACGCACTTGATGGTCCATATTCTGCTATAGTGTTATTATCTTGCTGGTTGTGTATTGGACTTGCCAAATATATGATGTTAGCTGTAATTGCCCTAACAATTGGAGAGTCGATGGCCAATACAGCTGATCGCAAATCTATTACAGGATCAATATAGCAGCTGCCAGTTTATATGTAATTTGTTTTATTAAATAATTCTATATCTTTGATAAAACTTCCGAAACACACCGTGAAGCAGGTATAGGAATTCATAATTTTTCATTTCTCGTCCAAGTAGTTAACCTGCTAATTTAATACATTTTATCTAGCAAATATAGAGATGCTGTGGAGAACAAATCAGACATTTTCACCAGTCAAACTATTCAATACTTTGCGTTCTGATGATTGCTTAGGGAAATTTAACAGTGGTCATAATTAAAAGTTGCACTCAGAAAGGTTGTGGATTAGTGTTTGTGTTTGAAATCGTTACGGATGTTGTGAGTTAGAAACCCGCACTTGGCAGGTGCGCTCGACTCCAATTTTAATTGACTAGTTTTTCTACCGAGCAATCCAGTTTCTTCCACCAATAAAAACTAACAGCCACGAAATAGCACGAAATGGTGCTGAAATTTGCATTAAACACCAAACAAGAAACCAATCAATCAATCAATCAATAAATCAATCAAATCATTATGAAACACGGAACATGATTTGAACTTTTCTTTGTGTTGATTAAAGTCAGAAAATATAATAACAACATATCTCATAATGATACGTCCAAAGATAGATTAGGCTTAAATGATTGAAGGTCTCGTATTGGACTGTTTTATTTCTTGTACTGAATCGGACCGAAAAGCTGTATTGATATTTACAGGGCGACGTCATCAGTGTTATTCGTCTGATTTAATCATATCATTTAATAATCCCGTTTTTTGCTTACGGAGAGTGCTAAACTACCTTTTCAATAAACATAAACTATGTCGATATGTATACGTGTTTTTATAACAAAATTAAAAAAAAAAGTTTGTTTGGGAAATCATTGGAAGCATTGCATTGAGAAGTGCGCTATTAATTAAATTTCCAAATTTTCAAATTTGAGAGAAGAGAGGAAAAACCTGAGGATATTTTATAGCATTTCCATATGTTAAACATTGAAACAACAAAAGGGAACACACTCCTTAATCATGATATTTGGAAATGGATAATGAATAGTTATCTTATCGGCAATCATGTCTCATCGCCATTATATATCAAAAAGAAAAAAAAGACAAACATTCCAACAACAATCTAAAAACAATTTTATGAACGATTGAAGGACAATTTAAATCCAAACTTTCCTTAAAAAATTTCTCAGAATAAATTTTAGATCTATGAACTTTATCAAAATCTATTTTGGTATATTTCCTTGTAAACAGTTAATTAAACACACTCATCAAAGAAGTTAATTTCATCAAGATAGCAAAATTGTGATCCAATGCTCAGAAATAAGATAGCGACAGCCACGCGCTAAAGGATGTATATACAAAAAGTTTTATTTGTGATTATGTACCTGCAAAATATAAAAAAGAAGATGTGGTGTGATTTTCAATGAGACAACTCTCCACAAGAGACCAAATGACACAGAAATTAACAACTTTAGGTCACCGTACGGCCTTCAACAATGAGCAAAGCCCATACCGCACTGTCAGCTATAAAAGACTCCGTAATAACAATGTAAAACAATTCAAACGAGAAAACAAACGGCCTAATGTATGTACAAAAAATGAACGAAAAACAAATATGTAACAAATAAACAAACGACAACCACTGAATTACAGGCTCCTGACTTTGGATAGGCACATACATACAGAATGTGGCGGGGTTAAACATGTTAGCGGGATCCCAACCCTCCCCCTAACCTGGGACAGTGGTGTAAC